TTGAATTTTTTATATTGATACATAGTTTGAACTAGTATGGTGACCGATTCCCGGTTCATCCATGTTTCTAGAATTGTCATGTTTTGTCTTATTTTTCTGCACACACAAACACACAAGTTTAAACATTAGAAACACATATTAAAACACGTTTAAACATTAAAAATACACATGAAAACAAGTTGTAAATCACCTCAAAACATTAAAAAAATACAAAACCATAAGTTTTACATCAATCAATATACATAAAAAAAAATATAATATTGAAAAGAAATATTGTTTTAGATGAATACATACGCTTCAAAAAGTTTCATAACATTTGAATGTGACTAAGAAGGATGTGGTGATCTCTATTGCAATGACGGTGCTGTAAGTCTCGAGATTGGAATGTTTTGCTCTAACACCCTTTGAACTTGTAATTTTTATTTTGGTTTGGTTTACTAGTTTTTTGCTAGCTTTGTTTTTTTTTTTCAAATATACATGCCGTTCAAAAAAAAAATTAAGAGAAGTCTAAAGAGATGTGAAAAGGCCACCAAATATTGTCATGCAAAATGTTTCATTTTCACGTGTTTTTATTCAGTTTAACAGGTTTAATTAGACTTCTCTTAATCTTTAGACTTCATTTTCATGTGTTTTTTTTTCAGTATTAATTTGAAGATCTAAAAAGCATGCGTTTAATTAAACATATTGTTTTTCCGGTAACTAAATAAAAAGCATGTGAAAACGCATGCTTTTTAGATCTTCAAATTAAAACTGAAAAAAAAAACGAAAACTAAAAACCAAAAACGACAAATGGAAAATAAAAATTGTTTTTCGGTAACTAAAATCAACCTTCTTTTTTTCTAGAACTATAATTTGTACATTTTGTGTACGGTGATTGAAGTTAAATAGAACATTTATTAAACAAGGTTTCAAAAATTAAAAAACAAACAATATAGCAGCAAAACATCTTGATATAATTATTGTGTATTCAGCCACAGTCGTCGTAAATCGTAACTTTTTTGCAACACATTAACCACTAGCAACGAAATGCAGTGTTCATTTTCTGATCAATAGCACCTCACTAACTAATTTATCAAAGTTGAGATAAGAAGATCCACCAATAGCAACAGCTTCTTCGGCTTTCTTCTTCCACTCTGAGGCCTTGCTTTTCATCATCTTCCCTTTCTTCCCATCCATCATCTCCCTCACCTGAGCCTCCACCTCCTCTCTCTTCACATCTGTGTCAATTTCCATTCCTATCCCCCATTCTACACAACTATATCGACAATTTGTTTGCTGTTCTGCAAAAAACGGCCAACAAATCACTGGAACACCGCTGCTAATACTCTCAATAGTTGAGTTCCATCCACTATGTGTCAAGAATCCCCCAATTGCTGGGTGCTTTAAAACCTTCATACGTAGATCAATCAAACGACTTTTCAGTATTCAGATTATACATTATGCATGTCATGATTAAAAGGTGCACACAAAACCATGCTCATATGATGACTTAAGTTTTTTTTTTTTTT